CCAGTTAATTACGTATATATTACAATTTATCCCGCGTGGTTTCAACTCCTATATAGGACGGGACAGGAAGAGTTCAGGGACTAGACTCTCCCCCCCCCACCTGAACGCCGCCCTCACGTAAAGAAGCACGTATTTTTGTCCCTATCATTATGATAAGGAGTTATTCATTCGTCTTCAAATGTAAACCTGTCATAAAAGGGAAACTTCTTCATCATTGCATACACCCTGTTTATCTGTTCATCCGTCCACACAATGCGATGTCGGGTGATTGAAGGGACTGGATCCACTATAGCTGCACAGTCCTGGATGTATTTTTCTTCACACGTGATATCGAGGAAATCGCATATTCTTCTGAGTGAATCCGCTGGATTTTTCACAACATCCATGCTGACAACGTTTATGAAGTCTTCTGGGAAGGTTTTCTGTGCCACGTGAGTTCCCTCTGCCCAGTTATTGTAAAGCTGTATCTTTATATCCAGAATTTCACTCGCATTAATCTGCTGAGAGTTCTACCACATCATTAGTCAGTGATAAGTGGTAATCTTATTTCTTTCTTATTTAGTGGTAAAATAAACAAAAACTGTAGCCTATTGTTAGACCTGCCTTCGTTCAGTTGCCTAGAGACTCTCAATTAAGACCCCAATTGATTTGATAAACCTTGCTGCTTTCTCTTTCCCCATGCCATACCCCCTCCGCTTCCCCGCTATTGTGCCTCTTCCTGCCGGGGATTTTCGCTCGGCCTACTCAGTGATCCAAAGATTTTTAAAACACTCGCCTTTGGCTTGGTACTTACAACGCCTCTATAGGTAAGCCTTATCAAATACTAGGTGTGGAATGAGAGTGTGTATCTTAATGATCAGGAGATTGATAGATTAGAGACTCAAAAAACTGCTGTACTGGGATGGTGTGCGCGTAACTCAGTTAAAAAAGTTCGATATTTGGGGCGCAAGTAGTCATTTGAGTACGATACCTTGATGTTCGGATCAGCGTCCCTGGCCTGGATATCTCTGTGACGTAAAACAAATGTTGCAATATTGTCAAAGGGATTTCTAACAACGTGAATGAACTTGACTTTCACTCCTAGTTTCTCTTCCATCTCGTAAATTGCGGCTGTGCCTTTTAGACGAAGCATTACTGCAGTGTCCCATGCTGTCTTGTCTCCAATGACCTTAGGGTTGTTATATGAAAAAAATATTCAGAGAATATCAAAACGATAATTTTATCAAAGCTAGAATCGGTGACAAAAATTGTTGAGGTGGTTCCAACATTTCGCATTGTCAAAATACAAACTTGGTACTCCAGTCCTCCACCACTCCCACTTTCAATGTTGTAGTTCTGCATACCTACATTGATTGGGGGCGGTGCAAACTGGGCACGATTGCAATAAAAATAATAGAAAGAGACTCTAAAAAGGGAAATGTCTTTTGTCACTGATTGTAGACTGTTCATACTATACAGTCTTGAGAAAAAGATACTATTGTACGTCTAATATCTCTTTAACTCAAAATAAAATGCTATCATGACTTTACAGGGGTAGACTACACTAAATTGAAACTGACGGTTTATAAGGGGCATATAACGAACACGAGCCATGACTCAAAAGACTTCCACAGATCGTAAACCTGTACCTTGTACGTTTATGCATCAATGCTGTAATAGCATTATACCTGAATATATCGATCGTACGCTCCCTGCCATTGATCAGGAACATTGTAGCCAAACAATTGGAGGTTGGTAACGCCTCCTTTCGATTCGCGGGATCTTCGACCATGTAAAGAAGACCGCACTGAATTTCCCATCATGGTATCAAAAAAATCATACTTCGAGTTAACCGTCTTCCAGTCTGGGTTGGAAATCCATTTTCTCAGCGCGTACGATTCGTCGGCAACTATCATGTGTGGATGAGCATCGAGTAAAGAAGACACCAAGCTGTGTCGACTACGTGAATAACCAACGAACAACAGCAACGTAGTCAAGTGATCATAAGCTCTGTTTTTATTGTCTTCTTCGCTAGTGGGCTCTTCTGTAAAAGATAAAATAGAAGCGTTACGTGAATTATTTGAGAACCGAGCAGCCTATTTGCAGAGGAATGCTTTTGAGTACTCCCAACACAGCGAAAGTAGCACCGCAAAATGTCACAGTTCTTTCTGTTTCTTTTTTTTCCCGAATTAATTTACATTTTTTTACAGTTACATGTAAGATGATTTACGTATTTGCAGTTGGTTTTGGTGATACCCAGCATCTTTTGTTTCTTAGTTTTATTTATATTTTTTCACGGAAAATATGCTGTTCTTTGAAACCGGCTAGAACTGAAAAAAGTTCATGCCCCCTTGGTTAAATAAAGCGTTATGTTTATATGTTACATTATGTAACAGACTCTCTCGATTAGACAATTACAAAAGGTAGGAAAACAAAACATTTTCAAGTTGTATAGAGCCAATGTTGTTGTAACAGTCAACGTAGAATCCCGGAAAATGAAGGTCCCGGAAATAACACCAGCAGTGCATAACTAGGAGTGTACACCCTCTGATCTATGCTCAGTCCCTATCCAAGCCTATGACCAGATCAAACGAGCTATCTTTATAGACCATTCACACAATTCACTGCAAATTACTTTCAGACTTCAATTAATTGATTACACAAATTCAGCAATAATTCAAATTCTTGCCATTGTCGTGTTCTTGTTGGGTGGAATTATTCTTTTTAACGTCTTCCTTGTTTTTGCGTTGTGAATCACTCACGCCGCTGAAACTGGGGTTCGTTTTATCTAAAAGAAAATTTTAATAGTAGAAAAATTATTATTTCATTGGTTTCAAGGTGCACGACCTGATCACATGCGAGTCGAAAGTTGTTGTTTCCCTGGGGAGTTAGTGAGTGACGAGAAGCGAGCAGTACGCAAGGAAAGAGCCGCTAGCACTAATAGCACAGCCCTTACCCACTTCTGCCCTACCTGTGGGAGAGGCTTCCTTGCCCGGATTAGTCTCATCAGCCACCTCCTGACACACCGTAGAAATTTATTAACAAACTAGATGTCTTTGGTCATCTTCGACTACGAAGGACGAACAACAGTGAGTGACACCTTCTCGTCCAATCAGAAAACGTACTAAGGTTGAGAGGTGTAACAATTTAATTTAATTTTAATATCAGAGCAGTTTTCAATTGAGTGTCGAAAGTAATCAGGCAATTACTTTGGTTGTNAGAAAAGTAGGGGTCACCGAACGTCCAAGATCGTTAAATCCAGGGAAAGCGATAGCAATGGCCATCTGTCCTATCATTGTTTATTTATTTACTTAGCGAGCTCTCTCACGCATGACGTGGCGTGTGAATTTGAGTGCGCAGTAAGGATGCGCAGAAACAATTAGTGCGAACGTCCTTAAGGGCCTAGGCATGTTACACTTTGTGGCCTCTCCGTCTTCCTTGTCGTATGACTGATCGTGAAGATGAAATTTCTGGCGATTTATTTTTCGATTTATTATTTCGCTTTAACCACCGATAAGTTAGCATCTAAGGTTACCAATAATATTCTATTCTTGAGTTTATGATACATACCTGTCAAAACCCTGTCGGTTATTCCATTTATTTGCCACATGGTTAAGATCACCGCTACAGCAACCGAACAAGCCGCTATTAACACCAGACGGAATAACTTTGGACCTCGAGCAAACATTTCCTTTGCACTTCTGGAAAGAAGAATCTAAAAAATTTAAAATAAATTTTTTCAGTTTTAGTTGAAACTCCTGAACAAAAAAAATTGAGCGAGGATCTGCTCGCAGTCGAGTAACTGCGGCTACAGTTCACAAGTGTTTATGAGCAAGCATTTATCATACGTGACACAAAATGTAATTAAAACATTTCACGTTACGCTTAATTGTTATTTTTACAGATATTAAGTGTGGCTGTTCTGTTTCTCAAAAGTGGACGACTCAAGGACAAGCTAAAGCAAATAAGCGTGATCGATAATTTTTTGATCTTAGCTCAGTATGTTTCTCTTGAGACAGTTTTCTATCAAGTGCTATCAACTTTGCGCTATACGGCATGAGTCAATAAATATACTAAGAATATATTTCTGTTATGGAAGCATGCTACACCTAACCCCGTGATAAAAGCAACCTAACTTCGCATGTTCTCGTTCTACTGATACAATTCCTCCACGGGCGCACAAAGATTTCACATGCATGTAGCACTTGTTGTACCTCTGCTAATTTCGCCTCGGGTGTTCACTAATTCGGCTTATTCTTGTGCCATTGAAAACCAGGATTTATTCAATTTATTTTATTTATACTCCGCGTGCATGAATTCTGTAGATATACAACTAACCGAAATTCAGTTATTAAGCTTCAGTTACATGAGTGAAATGACAGCATTTACTTCAATACATGTACTACCATTAAAACTGCATCCCAGTCAGCTCAGAGCATCCGCTCTCCAAATGTCGTGGGCCGCACGGCTGTAGATGCGATATATCCACTGTATATCTTTCGTGGTGTGTCTCTGTAAATTACTTCATATCGCTGATTATTTATCTTACCTTTCCCGTGCTTGTACCAGTTGAACCTGGCCGTTATTTCTTAGTGAAAATTAATGTATCAGAACTTAAACTTCAAGGGAATTTTATTTGCATATTTTGATCGACAGCCGATGCAAAGAAGGAGCTTTTGTAACTTAGAAGCCGGAAATTAGGGCTGATTGGCCCTTAATTAAAGTTCTGAGAAGAACAAAATAATTTTGGGGAATTTTCTTATCATCAAAATCATTGTTATTCATTGATCTAAACTTTTTAAAACACGTTTTTAAAATTGGTCTTATATTTCGTGAGCATTTGTATCTTTTATTCGCAGTTCTTTTTTCATGCATTTTAATAGAACGTAGTCTCTAAGTGACCGTTCATTTTACAGCAAATATTTCTCGAAAAATCAATTGATTTTAAACTTTCTTTCTTTAATGAAAACCTTACCAATAAAGGTCTCTAGTACCATGTTTGATAGCCTAAATTGACAGTCGGCGCACGAGGTTGATATAACGACAAGCAGTTAAATTTCCGTATAGACGGAAGACAGGACGAGACGTTTGCATACACGCGCGTTACACGCACGCGGCACTTTTGTCCCAGTCTCTTTCACTTTCTATACAAGGAGAGGTGGCATTTTTGGCAATATGGCGGACGTGAGCGTGAGAACTGTTTACGATGGTGATCTATTCCCTTACTTAAAACGTTTGTTCTGTGAAGCTCTGAGAACAGTCAGTTGGCTAGATCAAAGAAAACTGGATTCGTTTTCTTTAAAGTTCAATAAGAAACTTTTAAATGGAGATTTAATCATTCCTGCCTTTGTACGAACCTGTCTCGGCGATGTTATGAACGACAACAAGGTAAAAGGCTTAACTCCTTAAGTCTTACATGTAAGCTTACTTGTAAAGGTTTATCAGCTTTTCATATTGCTCTTTAGAAGAAGCGGAGGATATCAGCTGCGGAATAAGTCAATAACCAGTTATTAATAATTTGATACATTCTTTTGATAAGCTGAAAAGTGGGACCACAGCTCAGACAAAATGTTTTTATTCAGTTGGCCTTGTTTGAGTGAAGCCATTTATTTACTTAAACCATGCCATAGAAAATACAGCCAATCAGAATACAGGAAAGCCGTGTATATTCGACATTATTAAAAACTTGATCATTGGATAATGCAATTTGAGAGTTAAATTCATTGGCATAGCCATCATGGGTTATGAGCAATTATAATCCATTAAATGTTTTCACTCAAGCGCGATTGGTCTAAAAGCGTCAAATGACTGAATATTGCCCAGCTAAAACTGAGGAATATCCAAGGATATTCCCCAATTTTCATAATCTAATTGCTTAATGGAAACACTCTTGAAAGTTTAGGAGAACGAGAAATGCTGTAGGAGGTGAATGTTTCCACAGCTTTTCCGAATTCTCGCAAGCTTTTATGAGTGTTTCTATAACTCCATAGAAACACAGAGAACATGTTCTCTATTTCTTTTAGAAAACACCACGACAAAAAAAGGAAAGCAACTCGTTTACTTTGGTCATCAAAATTTAAATTCTCTTTGCTTTCGCCATCATTACGTCAACAGCTCATGCTTGTTCTGTGTTTCTGTCAAGTTTTTTCAATAACTGTCTAATTTCTTGCACACTGATTGGCTCATTTCTATCATCAATAAGAGTACAGAGAGATAAAATTTTAATTTATGCCAGCTTTCAAGTTCAACTTTTAGTTGTCAAACTGTCAACTTTTTAACCAATGAGATTTTATGGACTTTGTTAAGTAGCCAATCAAAAAGCAAGAAAAGCTATTGACAATGTTCGTGTCATTCACTTATCTTTATTTACGGCAAGTTTATGGCGTCTTTTCCCCTCATTCCCAGCATTTGACCATTTTGGGGTCTTGTTATTGTAAAAAACAAATTGACGTCAGTTTTCTATGCATCTGTCCTCATATTGATGATAAATTTCATCATAACATTGTCAAAGTTTACTGCGGAAGCATTCGCCTGTGGCTCATGGTTCCACAGCTACTTTGACAATGTTATGATGTAATTTATCACCAATAAGAGGACAGACGCATAAAAACTGATGTCAATTTGTTAAATAGAAACAAGATTTTTAACCAATCGACAAGTGTATTTTCCTAGGGCTGTTTTCTAAATGGGAGTTGGAGTATGGGATAGCGGATATGGGATATAGGGCTGCAACAATACAATTTCTCACAATACAATACACATCTCAATACAACTGTCACAATATGATACATGATACGATACATCATTACATACGACTGACAGGTGAAGAAGAGCTGCAAAGAACGGACAAACNTATATCAACAATTCAGTTTGTACAACACTGTCAATTGACGAGTGGAGGTCATCTTCTACTGACTCTAAAAAAGACTGATGTTACCAGAGCTGCACTTCACAATGTTATAAGTAAAGCAGACCAGTATGGAAAATCAATTGGACAAAACTCTCAGGGTGTGCTATTGAATCCTTCTGTGTTATTATGTTCACTTGATAAGGATCAAGATCATTTAAGTCTTGATCATCTAAGAACAGCCCTTATTTGTGAACACACCAAGCAGCTTCTAAATGCTAATAGGTATGTTGAGTTTTAATAACTACTTGTCATGTGCTAATTTATTATAAACATTATATTTACAGTGGGTCTTCATTTCAGCTTATTTCTGTACTCAGTATAATTGTGTAGTGCAATGTACATTAATGATATAACAGGGATTAAATCTGAGGGTGGACATTAGACAAATTGATCATCCATAAAACCCTTTTTGCTCAGTTACTTTTAGGATATCAATTATCTGTTCTCTTTTGTTAAATAGATACAGCTGACTATCCATATGCCCAATTTTTACCTCTTGACCCAGACCTGGTATTAGTAAATAACTTACCGTAAAATTGCTTGGTAAAAGTACATTGACCAGTTAATAATGTGAAAGGCAGTATTTATACTGAAACACAGAAATATTTATTTAGGAATAATTTTAGATACTCTTTCTCTTTCTCTCTCTGAGTAATCGGTTAGAATCTGAATACAAGACAGTTATCCATGACTGTGTTTTAAAATAGGATATATTGCTGATTCTTCCACTCATCAGTGATATATTTTCCCAACAGTTCATTTGTTTTGTAACAGATTACTTACATTGTATCCTTGTCAAAGGGTGCAGATGTTTATAAATTTGAAGCATTCTCTAATTTGGTTTGTAGGGCTGAGGTGAAATCAATTCCAGGCAGCACAGACCAAACTGCACATGAATTTGAACTCAGAAACAATCAAAATATGCAAGAAACATGTCATCTCTTTTCTACATCATGTTGCACTCCAACTAAAACCAATATGTGGACAGATAAAGAACTTGATGAAAATGCTAAAGAACTTCACAAACTCTTAAAAAGCTGCAAATATGTGAAACAAAGTCATGAGTCAGCAGTCTCAATAAATATTGAGACTAGAGATCAAGTTGCAAACAATGTACTGAATTGTAATTGTGATTGTGAAGATAATTGCAGCTGTCAAGACTCTGATTTGAATGTTGATGGAATTATTTTGGATGGGGAGGAGTTTGTTAAAGATAATACACAGTTTGAAGGTGAGGAACACATTCATAATACAATCCAGTAGCATGCGATTTTAGTTTTGTTCTTAAAATATATTACCTTTGAATATGTCTAGAATTATCAAGGGTTATAAAGGATCATATTTCATCCATTCAAAATGATCTTGGATGGCTCACCATTGAAGAACTACTGAACTTACGTGACGTTACTATGATTTATAAATATATTTTCTAGCCCCAACCTCTTTATCTACTACCCTCTTCAAACGCTCTGAAACTCATTCATATAACACCAGAAATAAAGACCATCTCAGTTTACCTATATGTAGGACATCGGCAGTGCAACATGGCTTNGGAGGAGTTTCTTAAAGATAATACACAGTTTGAAGGTGAGGAACACATTCATAATACAATCCAGTAGCATGTGATTTTAGTTTTGTTCTTAAAATGTATTACCTTTGAATATGTCTAGAATTATCAAGGGTTGTAAAGGATCATATTTCATCCATTCAAAACGATCTTGGATGGCTCACCATTGAAGAACTTCTGAACGTACGTGACGTTACTATGATTTATAAATATATTTTTGAGCCCCAACCTCTTTATCTACTACCCTCTTCAAACGCTCTGAAACTCATTCATATAACACCAGAAATAAAGACCATCTCAGTTTACCTATGTGTAGGACATCGGCAGTGCAACATGGCTTCCATTATACAGTGTAGGGCACTTAAAACTTGGAATAATCTTTCTGTTGCAACTAAGAACTTGCACTCAGTTCTGCATTTCAAGAAGAGTGCGGGAAGTGAAATGTGGNCATATTTTTTAATTTATTGTCTACCTGTCTCATCAGTCTCATGTATTTGGGTTAAAAACTTTGCTCTTAAGACTTCTCATGCCTAGTAATCAATGTCTCATGCCTAACTGAAGTTTTTGGAACTATTACAGCCTTAATGGCACACTTTTGTAAAAAATTAATAATATGGAAACTCAAGCCAATACAAGTAAAGGATAGTACACTTTCCTCAATTCCCTAATTTCAAGCTGGCAATGTTGTTATGTTTTGCAAAACATATCCTGGAACTAAGACAAAGATATCTGAGGAAATCTTTGAAGTATCCTTGAAAATCTTTTGGATCTCCAGAATAAACATTTCAAAGCTGTGGCTCCAGAAATGTTAGCAGGTCTATTGTTGTACTATGACATTACTTAACTGTCCCACCGTTATTTCCATGTCATCAGGCAGCAAATGCAGATATGGTGCTCCATGTTACAAGCTGTAGAAGAAAATTTATTCAACAGCAAATCAGCAATGTGTGGCTTATGATATCTACAAGTCTGCTGACTAGGAAACAGGCATGTGCACACATACCAAATTGTGTTATAGAAGTGTGTAGATTGGGGTTTTAAGGGTATCTCAAATGACGATTCAAAGGTGTCTCTTATACAAGGAAACGTTTCATGAAAAAACAGATACAAAGCCAACACTGATAAAATGGGAGGAAGTGATAGACTGTGCTCTGGCTGTTGGACTTGTACTACGCAAACTAATGTTGTATTTGTAGTTCTTAACTGTAAGGTAACTTACTGGGAACAGTGCAATGTTAAGTGTTTTTAACTTACCTAGCTAAATTTACTGGGTTTTTTCTATCAACACACGACAAAGCACTACTGAAACTACTTACAAATTTTACTGGTTGTCTGTTTATGAGTCCATTAGTGCATTAGATCCTTTGTTAAACAATCCCACGAGCTTTGTAGTTTTGAAAACTATCAATTTAAATTAAAGGTTGACTGATTGATTGATTCATACATGTATAATCTGCCTGGTCTTAACTACAAATGAAAAATAAATACTGAGTGGTTATCATGTCTAGTAACATCATTTTGAACTTACAGTATATCATTGTTATTTTTGGTAAATATTTCCTGTGACACTGAAAGATTTTTGGATCCTAACTATCTAATCTAAAACAGGCACAAGCACGCATGGTTTGCTTAGTAACTACTTTTGCAGAAAAAACCGCACAAATTTTCTTCTCAAGCAGTACTTACTTTCAATGAAAAATTCTGACATTTGTTTTCTAACTAACATTGGCTATTTTGTTTGTTGACATACAGTTTTACCTGACACATGGTTTGGTATCAGTGTATAATGACACAGAAAAAATCCAAGAACATCTTGATGCCATGGATCTTCTAAGGTGCAGAGGGTTTATTTCTTTAGCATAGCATCATAGCATGATATAATTAGACTCCAGTTTGAAAATGTGAATTCTCCTAAGCTTACAGCTTGATTTATAAAAGTCTCTTAAAACTACATGTAGCTGGGATGATTTTAACACATCAGGACAATTTCCCTTTAATGATACAGTTGAATCTCTATTAAGCGGTCACCCCTTATTAAGCAGCCAGTTACTGAAGTCACAAAATTGTCAGTAAAATACTGTAAAAAAACCTATTAATAAGCCACCGCTATTACAGTGTAGGTGGCCATGGCCACCTTTTGGTCATCCCGATGAGGGGTTCTATTCTCCTTACCCCTATTGAGCAGCCAACCATAATTTAACTCACATATCGTAAAATCCCATGTTAAAGCCCCCCTTCCCCGAATAAAAGCCCTTCTATTTGTTAACAAAGGTATTATTCTGGATATAAGTTCTGCCGGGTATAAGCCCATCTAATGTATAAGTGCATTCCCTTTGCATTTCTTTACAAAGATTAAAATTTTTAATTGAAAGTTAGAGGCAGATAGGGTAATAATAGGGTAATAAGGTAATAGCTTTAAATATAATGGTATGTTAGCTTTAATTCATTTCTCTGATACGTTTTATCTCGTTTTCCAAGCCCCCCTGTTTATAAGCCCACCCAAAACCCCTTATGAAGTTATATAAGCCCAGGACTTTAAATTGGGATTTTATGGTACAGTTGAAAGTTACAATGGTTGCTTATTTATATTTTTTGATAGCGTACGTAAAAAACAGCTCAGAGAATCTTACATTCTGAAATATGGAGATAAAGTAGAAGGTATGAAATTAAATCAAAGTTGATTGATATGTCACACTCAAACCCATGTAGATGTTATTGCTTTTACTTACATAAACAGACTGTAGGAAATTTCTCATAAGCTTACAAATACCGTGGGCTTGTCTCTCGAAACCTTTTGTGTGAACTGTTTGGCGCAGTGGTGAGAGCACTCACCTCCCACCAATGTGGCCTGGGTTCAATTTCGGCTTGGTGCCACATGTGGATTGAGTTTGTTGTTGGTTCTCGCCTTATTCCGAGGGTTTTCCTCCGGGTTCTCTAACTTTTCTGGTTTTCCTCCCTCCACAAAACCCAGGATAGCGGACCTGCATGAAAACCAGCTAAGGCTGATGTGGCTTCTCTCTAAATATAGTTATTTATTTAATTTTATTATTTCTTGGAGACTTGTCCCCTTACCATAAATCCTTGAATTAGCGCCGGGGGTGCTTATTTCAAATTTAGGAGAAGACGTGGGGTGCTTATTCGAGGGGGGCAATTAATCAAGGGTGTGCACTTATTTAGTTTTTCCCAAATCGTAGCCTGACATGATCATTTTTTAATACATCATCTGGACGTAAACAACAACATAAGTTGTTTAGCGACACAAAAAGCTGATCCTAAAGTTTAAATCGTGGCATGGTTAGAAATTCACGTGGTCACAAACTGAAGCAATGAACAATATCCTTTGCTGTCTCATTACTCATCCACAAAATGGGGGGGAGGGGGGCGCTTAATTTAAATTTTGGCCAATTGGAGGGGCGCTTATTCGAAGGGGGCGCTTATTTGAGGGGGGCGCTAATTTGAGGATTTACGGTATGTGTGCCAACCTTTTAATGACATCAGATAGATTCATAGTGTACATGTACAAGCACTGGAAGAAATATTACACATGGTGTATCTGTTTTCCATTATCTATTCCCAGGTCGTGGCTGGGACATATCAATCAGGGAAATGGCAATAGCTGTTATCAAACTAGAAATTCTCTCTGCAGCTCCTAACAGTGAAGTGAGTATCATGGGGTTGCAGCTTGTAATGAACATTGAGAATGTAACCAGTGAGTATAAACTTCCTAATCCTGTAGAAAAGAGATCATATTAAATATTGTTACCATGGAGATTCTACAACTTCATGAAGCTTTATAAGAGTCTTTAAATTTTCAAAATAATAAAATTTGTATTATTTTGCATAACAAATTAATATAAAATTTATTTTTTCAGTGTGATGCATGCACTGTGAAATACATGACAAGAGTAAAAAATAAATCTTCAACTAAGAATATTGGATCCTTTATATCTCAGTACTAACAAACCAACAAACCCTGAGAACTGACATCAAATGTTTACATGAGTTAATAAGATAAGCAAATTTTGATGCCTTTAATAAGTGCAGATTTTTGTCAAAATCAGTTAATATAATCTCTATTATTTATGTAACAGTTTTCAGACCATTGCAATTCTTATGTTTCTTATTTCACACATGTCACTCAGTGTCAATTGATTGAGAAAAAAAAGTTAATTGAATTTTCCTGCAATCTTGCATTTCTAGGTGAAAATTGACTTGTGTGAAACTTCAAGAGAATTCAGGCAGGCTGCCTTTGTCTTGTACAATTGTGCAAGACTTTCTAAACTTTTTCAAAACTTTGAGGAAAATGTCCACAAAGGTGAGATAAACACTTCCTATAAAATTATAGTGATTCAGTTTCAAAGCCTAAAAATACCTGTTTCATTACAATATACTCAGTCCTTTTACCTAACAGATGTAAATCTAAGTGAGTTTGAGCCAATATGCATTTCTCAAACTTTCAACAACAACAACTTCAGTATTCATGTGTCTCGGTTAAATGGACGAGGGTGAAACCCACTTTAAGAAACCTCTAGTCCACAAGCCCTACATGTACCACACCTTTATCTTCTATTAACAAATAAATAAACAGTTTTTTTGTTATACAGGTATTTATCCAGCCCTCCCACCTGTAAATGATGTGGATTTTAATCTCTTGCATGATCAAGTGAGTTTTGTTTGATGAGAAATACATGCAATCATGTGGTGGAAACCTCTATGTTAATTAAGTGGACACCATCATATATGAATTACACTCCCTAAAATGTTCTGGTTCTCACCTTTGGAATTCCCTGCCAATAAATGTTATCAGGTCAAATTCTCTTTCAATCTTTATAAAACCCTTAAGAACTCTATGCTTGACAATTATACTTATTAATTAAAGCCTAGCACATGAAGAAGTACTTTTTATCTTCAAGAACTTCCTTTTACACTTTGTGTAACTGTATTCTATTAGGAGTATCCACTCTTATCTTTGCTATTTAGATGATCCTAACTCACTCACTATTAAGTTATTGTTATTTTTATTCTTTATTTTTGATGTGATGATCTGTTTATAGTGTAATCTATGTACAAAAGTTACATGTAACTGAGCTGAGTTTAATAAATAAATAAATAAATTTGATTTGATTTGATTTGCCTCAAAAGAAACAGTTAGAGAAAGGTTTTTATTAATTAGCAGAAGTCCCACTATTTATTGTCAAAGATCAATATTGAGCAAAAGCCAGATCTGATAAAGGGAAACTTAAGATGCTAAAGATCTGTTAGTTGTTTTGGGTGATGTTCAAATTACTGTCAAATTGAAGAAAACCATAAGTCAAGTTAATAGACCAGTAAGATAAAGGCCAATAGACCCTATTCATAAATGGATGCCAATTTAACATTCTTTTGTATGCATTTAAATTAGCCCAACAAACCTAGTTTGAGAGTAAAAATTCTATTGAATTATCAACTCAAAAATGAGGTTAGTTGGGCTAGTTAATTTTTCATTGGCAGCCATTTTTGAATAGGGTCTATACTGTAACTTACATTAAGCCAAGAAGCCCTGAGTAATGATGGATTATTAAGCAATGGAAAAGACTGAGGTACATTTGAATGACAAACTATAAAGTCTCTTACTAGTCCAATGTTCACTTGTCTCTATCCTTGTCAACAGGCAGAATGGGAGTTAACATTAAACTATATTGTGGCTTTTCCATCCATTGTAAGGGATGCTGTGCCAGCAACCATAGCCAAGTCACAAAATGTCACCATCCACACAAATAAGGTCAATTAACATCACTGTTCATGTTAGTCAATTGGTGCAGAAAAACAATAATTGTCTTCTTTTCACCTTCAAGTGTTAAATAACCAACTGTAAGACATAATGGCAGCTCCAGTTATACATTGTACCTCATTCACAGTAACTAAACCTGTTTCACAGGTGAACGTGAAGGTGATACAAATTAGCCCTGGTGGTAACATAATTTGGAAAGCTATAACCATATTCAGCCAAAGTATGTAACCTGTCAGAACAAACTTCTGCTTGTTCATTTGTTATGGGAACGTACATGTAAACACAAGCACATGCATCTATTATGCTGTGAACAATTTTGACAGAACCATTGTTTAACAAATAATATTATGTTTCTCTACAATCTTTTGGTTGATATCTGCATTGTCATTTTTATCTGTAATTTACTGTTTTGTGTTCAACCTCTTTTAGATCTGTTGTTTCCTGTTCAACTTGAGTCACAAATTTAGTGCATATTATGGACGAGTGCACATTCTTGGAGTGAGTAATTTAATTGACTGTAAGACTATATTGATATCATTCCTGCTCTAATTTGACTTGCAGTGGAAGTGTACAAGTTAGGCACCAGTAATACCTTCGGACTGTGAAAGAAACTAACAAAAATTAAGGACAGTTTTGACAAATACTTTTCCTGAGCTTGAATTCTCTTCTGGTGTTACCCCATCCCTTCCCTGGGTAGATTTCCCTTGAAACTTTGTCACTCCCTCTCCTGGCTCTGCTGGCAAAACAAAGCACTCTGATGTAAAATGATGCCAGCTACTCAGGCTACTACATTGTACTTTACAAGCGCTTGTCAAGTTTCTCCATCACCTGGAGAGGGAGAGCCCTGTATCAGATGCAAACGAGTGGCATTGCTTTTCCTTTGCTCCCATGTCAATGTTTTTGAAACAGTGTTGTGTCTTTTCTTTATTTTTTTTTCAATAAGGTTATTTGTAACCACTATCTGCAGAATGAACTACATGTTCTTGATTCTCCAAGAATCAACTCACTAACACTTACTTAGTATTTGTATTTTCTTTCATAAATTTCAAGGAGTCAAAGCAACATCTTTTCCCCACAATGTTTGCAAGACTTTATCTAATGAAAACTCTTCAACAGGTCAGCAGCTTTCAGTGCCAGGCTGTTAAATTTGTTATCCCTACTGATTGCCTTATTTAATTTTGATGTTAATTTCCCAAAGCTACTCAGATGACTTTTTTAGATTGTATTNGTTGAATCTCTATTAAGCGGTCACCCCTTATTAAGCAGCCAGTTACTGAAGTCACAAAATTGTCAGTAAAATACTGTAAAAAAACCTATTAATAAGCCACCGCTATTACAGTGTAGGTGGCCATGGCCACCTTTTGGTCATCCCGATGAGGGGTTCTATTCTCCTTACCCCTATTGAGCAGCCAACCATAATTTAACTCACATATCGTAAAATCCCATGTTAAAGCCCCCCTTCCCCGAATAAAAGCCCTTCTATTTGTTAACAAAGGTATTATTCTGGATATAAGTTCTGCCGGGTATAAGCCCATCTAATGTATAAGTGCATTCCCTTTGCATTTCTTTACAAAGATTAAAATTTTTAATTGAAAGTTAGAGGCAGATAGGGTAATAATAGGGTAATAAGGTAATAGCTTTAAATATAATGGTATGTTAGCTTTAATTCATTTCTCTGATACGTTTTATCTCGTTTTCCAAGCCCCCCTGTTTATAAGCCCACCCAAAACCCCTTATGAAGTTATATAAGCCCAGGACTTTAAATTGGGATTTTATGGTACAGTTGAAAGTTACAATGGTTGCTTATTTATATTTTTTGATAGCGTACGTAAAAAACAGCTCAGAGAATCTTACATTCTGAAATATGGAGATAAAGTAGAAGGTATGAAATTAAATCAAAGTTGATTGATATGTCACACTCAAACCCATGTAGATGTTATTGCTTTTACTTACATAAACAGACTGTAGGAAATTTCTCATAAGCTTACAAATACCGTGGGCTTGTCTCTCGAAACCTTTTGTGTGAACTGTTTGGCGCAGTGGTGAGAGCACTCACCTCCCACCAATGTGGCCTGGGTTCAATTTCGGCTTGGTGCCACATGTGGATTGAGTTTGTTGTTGGTTCTCGCCTTATTCCGAGGGTTTTCCTCCGGGTTCTCTAACTTTTCTGGTTTTCCTCCCTCCACAAAACCCAGGATAGCGGACCTGCATGAAAACCAGCTAAGGCTGATGTGGCTTCTCTCTAAATATAGTTATTTATTTAATTTTATTATTTCTTGGAGACTTGTCCCCTTACCATAAATCCTTGAATTAGCGCCGGGGGTGCTTATTTCAAATTTAGGAGAAGACGTGGGGTGCTTATTCGAGGGGGGCAATTAATCAAGGGTGTGCACTTATTTAGTTTTTCCCAAATCGTAGCCTGACATGATCATTTTTTAATACATCATCTGGACGTAAACAACAACATAAGTTGTTTAGCGACACAAAAAGCTGATCCTAAAGTTTAAATCGTGGCATGGTTAGAAATTCACGTGGTCACAAACTGAAGCAATGAACAATATCCTTTGCTGTCTCATTACTCATCCACAAAATGGGGGGGAGGGGGGCGCTTAATTTAAATTTTGGCCAATTGGAGGGGCGCTTATTCGAAGGGGGCGCTTATTTGAGGGGGGCGCTAATTTGAGGATTTACGGTATGTGTGCCAACCTTTTAATGACATCAGATAGATTCATAGTGTACATGTACAAGCACTGGAAGAAATATTACACATGGTGTATCTGTTTTCCATTATCTATTCCCAGGTCGTGGCTGGGACATATCAATCAGGGAAATGGCAATAGCTGTTATCAAACTAGAAATTCTCTCTGCAGCTCCTAACAGTGAAGTGAGTATCATGGGGTTGCAGCTTGTAATGAACATTGAGAATGTAACCAGTGAGTATAAACTTCCTAATCCTGTAGAAAAGAGATCATATTAAATATTGTTACCATGGAGATTCTACAACTTCATGAAGCTTTATAAGAGTCTTTAAATTTTCAAAATAATAAAATTTGTATTATTTTGCATAACAAATTAATATAAAATTTATTTTTTCAGTGTGATGCATGCACTGTGAAATACATGACAAGAGTAAAAAATAAATCTTCAACTAAGAATATTGGATCCTTTATATCTCAGTACTAACAAACCAACAAACCCTGAGAACTGACATCAAATGTTTACATGAGTTAATAAGATAAGCAAATTTTGATGCCTTTAATAAGTGCAGATTTTTGTCAAAATCAGTTAATATAATCTCTATTATTTATGTAACAGTTTTCAGACCATTGCAATTCTTATGTTTCTTATTTCACACATGTCACTCAGTGTCAATTGATTGAGAAAAAAAAGTTAATTGAATTTTCCTGCAATCTTGCATTTCTAGGTGAAAATTGACTTGTGTGAAACTTCAAGAGAATTCAGGCAGGCTGCCTTTGTCTTGTACAATTGTGCAAGACTTTCTAAACTTTTTCAAAACTTTGAGGAAAATGTCCACAAAGGTGAGATAAACACTTCCTATAAAATTATAGTGATTCAGTTTCAAAGCCTAAAAATACCTGTTTCATTACAATATACTCAGTCCTTTTACCTAACAGATGTAAATCTAAGTGAGTTTGAGCCAATATGCATTTCTCAAACTTTCAACAACAACAACTTCAGTATTCATGTGTCTCGGTTAAATGGACGAGGGTGAAACCCACTTTAAGAAACCTCTAGTCCACAAGCCCTACATGTACCACACCTTTATCTTCTATTAACAAATAAATAAACAGTTTTTTTGTTATACAGGTATTTATCCAGCCCTCCCACCTGTAAATGATGTGGATTTTAATCTCTTGCATGATCAAGTGAGTTTTGTTTGATGAGAAATACATGCAATCATGTGGTGGAAACCTCTATGTTAATTAAGTGGACACCATCATATATGAATTACACTCCCTAAAATGTTCTGGTTCTCACCTTTGGAATTCCCTGCCAATAAATGTTATCAGGTCAAATTCTCTTTCAATCTTTATAAAACCCTTAAGAACTCTATGCTTGACAATTATACTTATTAATTAAAGCCTAGCACATGAAGAAGTACTTTTTATCTTCAAGAACTTCCTTTTACACTTTGTGTAACTGTATTCTATTAGGAGTATCCACTCTTATCTTTGCTATTTAGATGATCCTAACTCACTCACTATTAAGTTATTGTTATTTTTATTCTTTATTTTTGATGTGATGATCTGTTTATAGTGTAATCTATGTACAAAAGTTACATGTAACTGAGCTGAGTTTAATAAATAAATAAATAAATTTGATTTGATTTGATTTGCCTCAAAAGAAACAGTTAGAGAAAGGTTTTTATTAATTAGCAGAAGTCCCACTATTTATTGTCAAAGATCAATATTGAGCAAAAGCCAGATCTGATAAAGGGAAACTTAAGATGCTAAAGATCTGTTAGTTGTTTTGGGTGATGTTCAAATTACTGTCAAATTGAAGAAAACCATAAGTCAAGTTAATAGACCAGTAAGATAAAGGCCAATAGACCCTATTCATAAATGGATGCCAATTTAACATTCTTTTGTATGCATTTAAATTAGCCCAACAAACCTAGTTTGAGAGTAAAAATTCTATTGAATTATCAACTCAAAAATGAGGTTAGTTGGGCTAGTTAATTTTTCATTGGCAGCCATTTTTGAATAGGGTCTATACTGTAACTTACATTAAGCCAAGAAGCCCTGAGTAATGATGGATTATTAAGCAATGGAGAAGACTGAGGTACATTTGAATGACAAACTATAAAGTCTATTACTAGTCTAATGTTCACTTGTCTCTATCCTTGTCAACAGGCAGAATGGGAGTTAACATTAAACTATATTGTGGCTTTTCCATCCATTGTAAGGGATGCTGTGCCAGCAACCATAGCCAAGTCACAAAATGTCACCATCCACACAAATAAGGTCAATTAACATCACTGTTCATGTTAGTCAATTGGTGCAGAAAAACAATAATTGTCTTCTTTTCACCTTCAAGTGTTAAATAACCAACTGTAAGACATAATGGCAGCTCCAGTTATACATTGTACCTCATTCACAGTAACTAAACCTGTTTCACAGGTGAACGTGAAGGTGATACAAATTAGCCCTGGTGGTAACATAATTTGGAAAGCTATAACCATATTCAGCCAAAGTATGTAACCTGTCAGAACAAACTTCTGCTTGTTCATTTGTTATGGGAACGTACATGTAAACACAAGCACATGCATCTATTATGCTGTGAACAATTTTGACAGAACCATTGTTTAACAAATAATATTATGTTTCTCTACAATCTTTTGGTTGATATCTGCATTGTCATTTTTATCTGTAATTTACTGTTTTGTGTTCAACCTCTTTTAGATCTGTTGTTTCCTGTTCAACTTGAGTCACAAATTTAGTGCATATTATGGACGAGTGCACATTCTTGGAGTGAGTAATTTAATTGACTGTAAGACTATATTGATATCATTCCTGCTCTAATTTGACTTGCAGTGGAAGTGTACAAGTTAGGCACCAGTAATACCTTCGGACTGTGAAAGAAACTAACAAAAATTAAGGACAGTTTTGACAAATACTTTTCCTGAGCTTGAATTCTCTTCTGGTGTTACCCCATCCCTTCCCTGGGTAGATTTCCCTTGAAACTTTGTCACTCCCTCTCCTGGCTCTGCTGGCAAAACAAAGCACTCTGATGTAAAATGATGCCAGCTACTCAGGCTACTACATTGTACTTTACAAGCGCTTGTCAAGTTTCTCCATCACCTGGAGAGGGAGAGCCCTGTATCAGATGCAAACGAGTGGCATTGCTTTTCCTTTGCTCCCATGTCAATGTTTTTGAAACAGTGTTGTGTCTTTTCTTTATTTTTTTTTCAATAAGGTTATTTGTAACCACTATCTGCAGAATGAACTACATGTTCTTGATTCTCCAAGAATCAACTCACTAACACTTACTTAGTATTTGTATTTTCTTTCATAAATTTCAAGGAGTCAAAGCAACATCTTTTCCCCACAATGTTTGCAAGACTTTATCTAATGAAAACTCTTCAACAGGTCAGCAGCTTTCAGTGCCAGGCTGTTAAATTTGTTATCCCTACTGATTGCCTTATTTAATTTTGATGTTAATTTCCCAAAGCTACTCAGATGACTTTTTTAGATTGTATTCGTGTTATTTAGATTATTTGATTTGTAGTTTAGACGGGTCAGGGAAGGGTTTTTTCGGGATATTTTTTAGGGGGTTGGGTGTGGGTGTATTAACCAAGTAGGGGACTTGTGTCCTATTGTTAAGCACCTGAACTTGTGTGAATCCATAAATAAATAAATAAATAAATATTTGCTTGACAATGTGTCGATTACTGTAAGGAGAAGTTAAATGTTTATTACATGGCTACAATTTCCTTGTGGTTGGATGGATCTGTAGTTGAGAAGTACAGAAACATAGTTACAAGTTGTTATACAAAGTCAGGAATAGGCCATTTTACAGTTGTGTGCTTAGTTACCTGGCCATGGATGCAAGCGAGGCTGGAGGTGACCTTGCTTTGATACAGATCTCTCTGCTTTTCTCATTTAAATGTCAGCTAGTTAGCATAAGAATAACTTGATTTACACAACAAAAGCAGTAAGGTCTGTATCAAAACAAGGTCACCTCCAGCGTTGCTGCCATTCAAAGGCCAAGTCACTAGGTAGACAACTGTAAAATGGTCTATTTCAAACTGCTGCGGACTTTTTCAGTTTATTTCAGGGCTTCTCCAAATTCTGTGACAAAGTTAGCTGATAATGCCAAGAAATTGGGTTTCTTTGTTTGTAGCTGAGATGCATCTTTTTTTCTCTCTCTCTTTTAGCATAAATGAATACAGAAAAAGACAGGTAGTTAGAGAAAGCCTGGGATTTCAAACAATCTTGAGCATTCTAATGTATCTCAGGACTTTCCAATTTTCCCTGGCCAGTGGTTTCATGTTACCAGAAAGGCTACCCTCTGTGCCATAGAAGCCTCTGAACTACCTACAAACACTTTAGAAATGAGGCAGACAAAGTATGAGACAAGTATTTAACTGTTTGTTTAATTCACAGACTAAATTAAGTGTTCTGATTGCAGATATTTTTTATTGCAGATATTTCTGAACAGTCTAAACCTCTTGAATGTCAGTTCTCTGACGCAGATGTAAAGTAAGAGTTACACAGAGTGCTGTGTTGTCATTTACTGTAAATTGTTTTTAAAAAGCGTATACTGAAACCTGAGATGAAGTTAAAACAATAAAAGGGTTTAATAGACCATTTTACAGTTGTCTGTTCAGTGACCTGGCCTTTGAATGGCAGCAAAGCTGCAGGTGACCTTGTTTTGATACAGACCTCACTGTTTTTGTTGTGTAAATCAAGTTGTTCTTATGCTAACTAGTTGACATTTAAATGAGAAAAGCAGAGAGGTCTGTATCAAAGCAAGGTCAGCTCCAGCCTCGCTTGCATTGATAGGCCAGGTAACTAAGCACACAACTGTTAAATGGCCTATTTCCATTAAATTTCACACATAAATCAAACAGGAAAAGATGTCTTTATTGTAATAGGACATTAGCTCTGATATTGAAGACTCTTTCTCAGCCATAGTTTTTGTCAGATTGGATGTGTTGTGGGATGACGTTTACATATATTGCTTGCTTGGGGTGACGTCATTCATATCAGTGACGTGGAGGAGGCTTGGTTCCCCAGTGAGCCATCTTATTACTGATTGGTTGATTACGAAAGTACTCCGAATCAAGGAATGTTTTGATAGCGGGGATTTCCTGAAATTAGATAAAAAAAACTATTTTATTTCCTATGCGAGACAAAGAACAGTTAAACATTACACGACATCCCCAAAAGTGCTAGACTGTGATAATTTTCAATAAGACGTAGAAATGTGTAGATCTCACACACAGGGATAATATGTTGTGCACACCTTGGCTGCCAAAGCGCCAAATACATTTTTCTGATTAGTTGGGAAGTAGTGTGATAAACGGTGAGAGAATACATGAGTAATACCCCCCCGGGTTTTTTTTCCGCTGTTTTCGTGCTGCTCCGGGTATTACTCAACGCCCGGTACAGGTTATAAACCAACCAATCATTGTCCTTGCACCATATTTGTGTAAGTTTTTCTTGCAATCGAAAAACAGGATTTTGGAACCATGTTTTCTTGTTACAAGATTTCACTTATCAACTGTTGCGAGTTCATCTTGCTTACCTCAATTCTTGCCATGAAGTCCTTTATGTTTTGAAAAGGGTCAAGAGTTAAAGGTTCAAAGGTTCGCAATTGATCCAAGAATTCATACATCATAAAGTCGGCGAAACTTAGCTGTGAAACAACGAAAGCAACCTTCATTAAATGTTTTTTTTACAGATATCAGTGTCGAAGAATATTCTGTAAAAGGCTCTTTTGAGTTCGCAGGGTCAAGTCCCGCTCTGACCACTAATCTGGAGTTGTTTTCTCGGTAGACTCTAGTTCAGCCTCTCAGTCATGCTTATAAAAAAAAAAAAAAAACGTTAGATTTACATTTAATTGAACGATTTGTTTATATCAGTTTAAGTGGCATGCCCGAGAACCAGCTGGCTATAGCTAAGCTCTACATTCATTTTTGTTGTACAACATATGACGAAAGCCTCACCCTAGCCCTCCCCTCTTCTCGCTTGTTTCCTCACCCCTCCTATTTTGCTTGGCTATTGCTTTTAATTGAATGAGTACTGAGAGATTTTTCATTTAAAACACATTCGTACATCATGCACCTCAAGGGAAGCAAAGTTGTCGGAGCGGCGACGGTCACTTCTTTGGAGAGAGATCTGTGATACACTAAAATTGACAAAGTTGGACGCTTTTGATTGGGTTAATGACCGTAGACGATTTATACTTACATGTTCTCCAGTGAAATAAGGATAAGTACCAAGGAAGTCAGAATGACGCCGAAGGAAGCTGTTGCAAGAATTCAGATAATCAGCTCTACCTCCTTCCTAATCACAAACAAAGTTAAAATAAAGTTTAAATAAAGTTAAAATAAAGATGTCAAAAAATGCTGTTTTGGATGTAAACCACAAAACTTGCACTCACAAAGTCTGGGCTGAAGTAAGTGAATTTCATGAATCCAGCGATGAAGTCTGTGGCCTGTAGCGGGAGAAAGAAGTCAAAAAATAGTCGGTCAGCTTGGATGGGTGCACATAAATTATGCAGAAAATGGGTTGGGCGGGGTTAAGATGTGACTTACGAAAGCGCGACATAAAAAAAGTAGTAATAATACAGTCTTCCGGCTTTCTGACCCACAAAAGTAGATTAATTTGATCAATTAAGCCAAACAAACTGAAACTATAAGGTGATACCTCGCCTTCAATGACATCCGCTCTCATCATTTCCTCCTCTGTGGTTCCACCTGAGAGGAGGATCGAAAATTATTTTTTCATTTTACCAATCGACACACTTTTTACTTCTTTCAGTTCTGTGCACATCAAGATGGTAACCATAATTATATTTAAAATACTCAACTCTACTTATAGAGGGTAACACAGACCAGCAGATATACTGAAAAACTATAAGCCACTCAAAGTTCAATTATCCCCTTTCATGTGAAAACTTGCTAGCGGGGCAGGAGTAAAGAGAGGGGGATTTGGGTGCAAACGCTAAGCAGCCGCTTTCAATTCACCCCTGGATCGATCGGACTTGCCGATTTTCACTCAAATTCTCCTCTCCTCCCTTTTCTACGCCTGCTATGCAGTACTATGTAACTGTCCTCTACGCGTCAAGCCTGTTTTAGGTAATTGATCCGTAAGCAAAGCAAGTTAAGTGCTGTGAGGCAGCAAGCTCAGTTTCGTCTAAGCAGACACTCGCGGGGATTTCCACATTGCGCGGAATGCAGGTGTTAAGAGAACGAAGGAAAACGAATCTGAGTATCAGTAGCCTGCCTCGCAGTCGTCCATGCTGCCCTCCACTATCTCAATATATCTACGGCTTCGTCTCGAGCGTGAAGGTTTCACGCGGCTGCCGCACACTCGCAAAGGGAACAAGTACTAGCATGCTTTCCCGACTATTTAAAAAATCTCCCTTGGGGGCTCTATGGAAAAGAAAAGGAAGTTACTCTGATGCAACGGATGGCGATATAAACCAAGTCTGGATTTGGAGTTATCTGTAAGATTCCAAATTAATCAAAGTAATGAACTTACACAGATCGTGCTTGCGTGCGATGTGTCGCATAATCTGAGAAGACAAAACATATCAGTAAAGTTTGCTATTTCACAGATTTCTTCAGTACTATAATGTAGCCACACTTGTGCCAGGTGATCGCTTAGTTGGGAAGTCGATATTACTTGAGCTCGAGGAATTAACGGCGAGTGAAGAGAGCGCAAGGGTCCCTTGGTTGTAATTTTTGGCAGTATTAGAAGACCGTGATGCACATAAGCAACTTTGATTTTCCAGTCAGTCAATATTCTAATATATAATAACTTACACGTACATGGTGGCTTCTTATTCATGAATTGTTGCAAAAAAAAAAAAGAAAGAAAAAAAAAAAGAAAAAAAGAAAAAAAAACTGCGGCGGATGTGTTTCTGACGGGAATGGATGTCTTATTTTTCTGGAAAATTATACATGTAAGAGTTTTATTAGCTACTTTCCATGTATTTACCGCCATGGTCTGTGTCAGTTTCACATCTCCATCGATAAAGTAAGGCAACTGAAAAATAAAAGATCTCGAAATAAACTCACTCCCCATTGTAATAACCCCAGGACCAGAAGATCGTGCTTTAAATAAACGCACCAGGCCCCGGTTAGTCGAGCCCCCGGGGGGACTCCCATATAAAAAGGTCGGGGTGCCCGTCGGAAATTTTGAAACAAAAAAGCCCTAAGAGGTACAAAGATCTTGCCTTGTGGGCATGGCTTGAAATTTCTTTTCCCCCTTAGAGGTGCCTATGCTAAAACGAGAAATTATCTCCTGCTCAACACCCTAAAAGATAACGTAAAAGCTCCAACCGTGGACCTTTTGAAGCTACACACCCTAAGAGATAGCAAAACCGATTTTTAACGCCTAAAAGGCACGGCGAACAAACCCGTCTTTTTATATTTGAGTTCTCCTCCCCCTTCCCCCGTGTTCGAGGCTGCTGCGCGCATTTCAGGTCTAAAATTTTGTAGAAGAACTTGAACCACCACCAGGCCCGCGTTGTTCGAAAGGTGGATAACACTATCCACCGGATAAATCAGTATCCAGCGGGCGGATAGCGTGGTTTGTTAAGCTAACACGTATCCACTGGACAGCGATTTATCCGGTGGATAACGTTATCCAGCGTTCGAGCAACTGGGGCCCGCAAGAGGCCGCGTACTTAAGATCAAATGTTCTTTTTTCCTTCCTTCCGACGCCATGGAAAACAGAACTTCTGATCCTAGGTTACCCTCATGGTTGTGATTGATCTATTTGGCCATCTTCACGATCTATGACAACTCCGCGACACTGACAAACCGGCCAAGTTTGCACGTCTTAGTTCTGAATGCGTTAAGTTTTGCTGGTTAGAGAATAATCGAAGTTGATGACAATCTATTCTATTTTTTATATATATTCTGGTAATTTAGTTTAGAGTCAGTTTAATATTTCCTTTTAATTGACGCAATGGGAAAATTAACATAAAGATATTTTGAAAAAGAGGAAAGAAAGTCAGTGTACTTACGTTTGGGAACGGTAAACCTAATGTTTCTTTAACGGACAACCAGCAGCTCTTGTCGTACCCAGGAGCTAAAGATTTTTGACATGAGATTTCTGTCAGCTCGGTACTTAATGTGACATTTATTACGTTGTAGCGAAGATGATTTAAAAAGAACTCAGTCAAAATTTGTCAAGAATATTTGTAGGAGGGGAGAGGAACGGTTAAGGAAGGAGGGAGAAACGATCGAAAAAGTATTTTACGATAACTGCAGAAATTCTCGAGCGCTCATTGGCTAATTTTATTGTCAATAAGCGGACAGACACATGAATTTATAATTTATGCGATGCGTCAACGGGCGAAAGCGGACGATTTGACAATTTGTTATCGTAAAAAACAAATTAATGTCAGTTTTTAATGCGTCTGTCCTGTTATTGACGATGAATTCCGTCATAATATTGTCAAAGCAGTCTGCGGATCCATTCGGCTATCGCCCCGTGGATCCACAGCTACTTTGACAATGTTATGACGAAATTCACGATCAATAACAGGACGGACACATGAAAAACGGACGTCAATTTGTTAAAGGGAGAAGCGAGGTCAAAAAAATAAGCGAGATAAGATATTTCAAGGCCCGTTCCTCTCCTCGGCCTTTTGTTGAGAAACGATCACCTTGGAGTGTTTTTTTCGTCGGTTGTGATTGGCCAGTTGAACTATCTCTTGCAGTTCCTCTTGTGCGTCCGTCCGTCTGTCCGTTCGTGTTTCCTTCAGTTCGTTGTTTTCTCAGTGTTTTCTTTTGTTTGTTTGTTTGTTTGGTCTGCTCGTTTCGTTCGTTCTTTTGCGGAATAATAACGGCTCTTTTGTTGCCACAGCTGTTGAAAGACTGGCTGGACCTGGAGCCAGATCCAAATGTAGGCAGCTGAAGGCAACATTGAAACTCATTGTTCAACTAAGGGTGCGTTCCTTTGGGGTGATCTGGATTAGGATCAGTGATCCAAGATCACTCGGAGCATGGTGCATCAAAGGAACACGGATTCATCGGTTCCTTTGATGAACTATGATCAAAGTGATCTTGGATCACTGATCCTGATCCAGATCACCCCAAAGGAACGTACCCTAAAAGGCCTTATGTGCTACCCAAGCTCAAAGAGGATTATGAATGTATGTGTCTATAGGCTGGTTTTCACTAGAGCATAAGCAGAAGCATAAGCATAAGCACAAATGAAAACAGCTGCGTTACTACTGAAAACTGCACAAGACAAATAAGTGAGTTCGTTCTTCTTATGTTTCTGCTTATGCTTATGTTTATGTCGCGGCTGTTTTCACTTGTGCTTATGCTTATGCTTTAGTGAAAACCAGTCTTATGTTCTCTTGCTACTAATAAATCAATAACAGTTCTTTCTGACTTAATACAACAGGTTTTGTTCAAAGGAAGGACTTACCGTCCCCTGTCACGTAATCGCAATATTCGCACTCTGTTTCAGTGTAAGCCAACAGATAACGAATGGGTTGGGCAAGCTTCGAAAAACAGCAAAAATAAGACTCATTATTATATGGCATATTCTTGTAGCCGATATACACTGTAACGCGCGTTCTGATTGGCTAATTGAAGGGCATTATTCTCCCGTAATGCACACGGGCCGATTGCGGGCTTGCATAAACAAAACAAAAAGCCATATAATAAACAACTTATTAACCTGGAACGTTCGGTCTTTACGGGAAAATCTCAAACCTCGATCTTGTCGTACGCTCGGTCAATACGGCAAGGTCTCGGTCTGAGATTTTCCCGTAAAGACCTAAATCTCAGCAGGGGTGGCTAATGGTCCTTCAAAAACTCTGGGTCTCGCAAAATTTTAGTCGAACTTCACGGGTCTCACAGTCTCATTTTGAAGCAGTTATGTGCGTCTCGCCGTCTCGATTTTTATGCGAAACTGTCTCGGAGTCTCAATTTTTTGCAAAGCTAAGGGTCTCCAAGTCCTGATTCGTTTGTTTACCTGTTTTTATTAATAACTTCTTTTCGTCACTTGATATTGAATTTCAATGAAGCAACTTACAAATTTCCGAGAAAAAGTTAATTCTAACTTCTCCTAAATTGTCTGAATGCCACAAAAAGCTACAAAACCTACCGAAACATCCGTTTTGGTGCCAGAAAAACAGTTATTTTGTCCTAGGATATCATAACGAAGTGTGTTATAATCGAATTTCCAGTTCCAGCCAGTTTGAAGAAGCTGGCTAGAAAGCTGTACAAGCTCATCATGTCTAGCTCTCAACTAAATCTAGGGCTTGAATTTTAAGAGTCTGAACGTCTCGCGCTCGCACTTAAAACTTTGAAGTCTTAGTCTCGCAATCTAAAAGTTAAAACGTCTCGTGCTAGAAAAGAAAAACGCTTGTCTCGCCGTCTCGTCTCGCATTTACCATTCGCCACCCCTAATAACCATACCCTATTCATGACCAAAATGGCCAAAATCGATACCCTCTTTATGATCAAAACGGATGAAAAACCATACCCCTTGTAGTCTCCTCCGCAGCCGTTTTTTGGGATGTCACGCAACGCTCCCCTTTCTTTGGGGGAGCGTTGCGTGACATCCCAAAAATAACGGCTGCGGAGGAGACTATACCCCTTGGGGCCGCACATACCCACATAGCCCAATAAAGGAGTACCCCACCCCGGGTTTGCGTTACATTGAATTTGGAATGTGCGTGTTTTTGAAACTAATTAGCAACATACGACATCTTCGAATACTCAGCGGCGGATAAGGGAGTAAGTCAAGCTTAAGAAATCTGGCTTGTGCTCCTTAATACAATCACGCTGCAGAAACCTATGGCAATGTTTTACTAAGTGGTTATTTGAAAAAAGGTTTGTTAAAGAGGTTCATTTACATTTTTCGAGACTGAAATTGGGCAAACCTGAATACAGAGAAAATTACATGAACTACATTGAGCTCATACTTTAGGACATGCGACCTCAATTTCAATTATTACAAATATCTAAAATTAACAAATTTCTGTCAACTAAATGTGTTTGTAAATCCACAGGGCAAATACAAATGAATTTTCTAGAAGCCTCTTACCCCTCGCACATTCCAGTAGCCCAAAATTGGAGCCATTAGAGATGAAAATCTTGTTCGTATGACACTGTTGCAATCCACCCGCACAAAGACACTTCTTTCAGCTGTCGTTCATTTCGTCATCACCGCAGGGCACAGGTCACGGTATTTGTTTTTTACGCTATTTGAAGAATTGCTCTCAAGCCTTTAGATGAAATTCTGTCACGTTTTTTTAAAGAAATTCTATCCTCATTTGAAGAAATTTCACTTAATTACCGAGCTGCCTTAGGCCGGGGAGTTCTATGACGTTATTTGAGAGGGGTTTTCCACGCAAAATAGGAAATAATTACCATTTTATAAAGTATTTACGATAATCAATTTTTTAAAAAATAAATTACCTTATTATTCGTCTTATTAACCACAAACTGAGAAAACTAGACTGGACCTTATTCAGCAATGGACTCGAAGACAGCCAGTCTTAGAAAGACCCGGCAGGTGATCTCTCCACTACCGTTGGAATAGCTATAGGGGCTAAATCAAAGCGAGAGCCCAACTCTTATGTGTACCTTCTTTCCTTATCCACTTCCCAGGACAAATAGCAAAACGAGGATAAGATTCTTATAGCAAAAAGCTGCTCTTTATCAGCGTATCAAGACCGGCATAGCCCGCGAATACAGCCGCCTTTCATTCGCTCGAATGCGTGCCCGCTACGTACCCGCTACTCCCGCACGTAGTCCCGGGAGAGAATGAGAGGCGGCTGTATTCGCAGGCTAATCAGGACATAGAAACGAGTGGCCTTCCGGGCCGTACATGTTCAAGGTCCTATGTCTCCCTACGTCGTCTGTCAATAGCGCTAAAAAGCCTGGTTCTCATATGCCACCGACATACCTGGGACAGGGCCTGGGACACCGTTACGGCATTTGTGAACATTTATCGCCGAATCATAATCTATCCCAGGCATTGACCGCCGGCTTGCCTAGCTGAGTTTAACTTCGCAGGCAAGCCAGCGGTTGTCAGCGATAAAAATATTTTATGTGAACCTCATCATCTGGACCATCTGCGGACTCAGTGTATGACCTAACAACTCGATTTTTCCCACAATTCCTTACTTTACAGATGGAATGGTTGAAAATTGCCCCAATTCGATTTGCATTTCGCGCCAGTTTGGGTACGTCGGCCCGGGACGTCGGCGATCTATCGCATAATTATTAGAATACGCATCTTCATAATACAATATTGTCACATAATTCTACCTTATTTCATATTATTTTTATAATTCCTTGGTACGTTGATTTATTTCATTTTAATTTTAATGTAAATTATTTAGTAGTATTAGTACTGAAAAGCCCCCTTGGGGAGTGCTAATAAAATTTGTATTGTATTGTATGCACTGGAGACCCACTAGAACTGGTCGCCGAACGTTGTCACTACTTGCAACCGGCGACTGCGTCGCAGGTAGGTCGGCGGCATATGAGAATGTAGACTGCGAGTAGTCCCTTTTTCGCTTCGTCCGTCGTGCGTGTAGCGAAAGAAAACTGCCAGAAAAAAATAGCCGCGCGAAATCCTGGGGGCGAGGAGCCAGGGCTTCGCGTGGCCATTTTTTCTCGCGGTTTTCTCTCGCGTCATGCACGACGGACTAATCTACTCGTAGTCTAACGAGAACGAGGCTAAAGGCGCGAAACTCGGGTGGCGGCGCGCGTCGCACGCGAACTCACGCTGCTGGCAATGTATTGTGGTATTGAGCTATCTAAACGTTTACTTCGACCGCGAAAAATTNAACTTACACAGATCGTGCTTGCGTGCGATGTGTCGCATAATCTGAGAAGACAAAACATATCAGTAAAGTTTGCTATTTCACAGATTTCTTCAGTACTATAATGTAGCCACACTTGTGCCAGGTGATCGCTTAGTTGGGAAGTCGATATTACTTGAGCTCGAGGAATTAACGGCGAGTGAAGAGAGCGCAAGGGTCCCTTGGTTGTAATTTTTGGCAGTATTAGAAGACCGTGATGCACATAAGCAACTTTGATTTTCCAGTCAGTCAATATTCTAATATATAATAACTTACACGTACATGGTGGCTTCTTATTCATGAATTGTTGCAAAAAAAAAAAAGAAAGAAAAAAAAAAAGAAAAAAAGAAAAAAAAACTGCGGCGGATGTGTTTCTGACGGGAATGGATGTCTTATTTTTCTGGAAAATTATACATGTAAGAGTTTTATTAGCTACTTTCCATGTATTTACCGCCATGGTCTGTGTCAGTTTCACATCTCCATCGATAAAGTAAGGCAACTGAAAAATAAAAGATCTCGAAATAAACTCACTCCCCATTGTAATAACCCCAGGACCAGAAGATCGTGCTTTAAATAAACGCACCAGGCCCCGGTTAGTCGAGCCCCCGGGGGGACTCCCATATAAAAAGGTCGGGGTGCCCGTCGGAAATTTTGAAACAAAAAAGCCCTAAGAGGTACAAAGATCTTGCCTTGTGGGCATGGCTTGAAATTTCTTTTCCCCCTTAGAGGTGCCTATGCTAAAACGAGAAATTATCTCCTGCTCAACACCCTAAAAGATAACGTAAAAGCTCCAACCGTGGACCTTTTGAAGCTACACACCCTAAGAGATAGCAAAACCGATTTTTAACGCCTAAAAGGCACGGCGAACAAACCCGTCTTTTTATATTTGAGTTCTCCTCCCCCTTCCCCCGTGTTCGAGGCTGCTGCGCGCATTTCAGGTCTAAAATTTTGTAGAAGAACTTGAACCACCACCAGGCCCGCGTTGTTCGAAAGGTGGATAACACTATCCACCGGATAAATCAGTATCCAGCGGGCGGATAGCGTGGTTTGTTAAGCTAACACGTATCCACTGGACAGCGATTTATCCGGTGGATAACGTTATCCAGCGTTCGAGCAACTGGGGCCCGCAAGAGGCCGCGTACTTAAGATCAAATGTTCTTTTTTCCTTCCTTCCGACGCCATGGAAAACAGAACTTCTGATCCTAGGTTACCCTCATGGTTGTGATTGATCTATTTGGCCATCTTCACGATCTATGACAACTCCGCGACACTGACAAACCGGCCAAGTTTGCACGTCTTAGTTCTGAATGCGTTAAGTTTTGCTGGTTAGAGAATAATCGAAGTTGATGACAATCTATTCTCTTTTTTTATATATTCTGGTAATTTAGTTTAGAGTCAGTTTAATATTTCCTTTTAATTGACGCGATGGGAAAATTAACATAAAGATATTTTGAAAAAGAGGAAAGAAAGTCAGTGTACTTACGTTTGGGAACGGTAAACCTAATGTTTCTTTAACGGACAACCAGCAGCTCTTGTCGTACCCAGGAGCTAAAGATTTTTGACATGAGATTTCTGTCAGCTCGGTACTTAATGTGACATTTATTACGTTGTAGCGAAGATGATTTAAAAAGAACTCAGTCAAAATTTGTCAAGAATATTTGTAGGAGGGGAGAGGAACGGTTAAGGAAGGAGGGAGAAACGATCGAAAAAGTATTTTACGATAACTGCAGAAATTCTCGAGCGCTCATTGGCTAATTTTATTGTCAATAAGCGGACAGACACATGAATTTATAATTTATGCGATGCGTCAACGGGCGAAAGCGGACGATTTGACAATTTGTTATCGTAAAAAACAAATTAATGTCAGTTTTTAATGCGTCTGTCCTGTTATTGACGATGAATTCCGTCATAATATTGTCAAAGCAGTCTGCGGATCCATTCGGCTATCGCCCCGTGGATCCACAGCTACTTTGACAATGTTATGACGAAATTCACGATCAATAACAGGACGGACACATGAAAAACGGACGTCAATTTGTTAAAGGGAGAAGCGAGGTCAAAAAAATAAGCGAGATAAGATATTTCAAGGCCCGTTCCTCTCCTCGGCCTTTTGTTGAGAAACGATCACCTTGGAGTGTTTTTTTCGTCGGTTGTGATTGGCCAGTTGAACTATCTCTTGCAGTTCCTCTTGTGCGTCCGTCCGTCTGTCCGTTCGTGTTTCCTTCAGTTCGTTGTTTTCTCAGTGTTTTCTTTTGTTTGTTTGTTTGTTTGGTCTGCTCGTTTCGTTCGTTCTTTTGCGGAATAATAACGGCTCTTTTGTTGCCACAGCTGTTGAAAGACTGGCTGGACCTGGAGCCAGATCCAAATGTAGGCAGCTGAAGGCAACATTGAAACTCATTGTTCAACTAAGGGTGCGTTCCTTTGGGGTGATCTGGATTAGGATCAGTGATCCAAGATCACTCGGAGCATGGTGCATCAAAGGAACACGGATTCATCGGTTCCTTTGATGAACTATGATCAAAGTGATCTTGGATCACTGATCCTGATCCAGATCACCCCAAAGGAACGTACCCTAAAAGGCCTTATGTGCTACCCAAGCTCAAAGAGGATTATGAATGTATGTGTCTATAGGCTGGTTTTCACTAGAGCATAAGCAGAAGCATAAGCATAAGCACAAATGAAAACAGCTGCGTTACTACTGAAAACTGCACAAGACAAATAAGTGAGTTCGTTCTTCTTATGTTTCTGCTTATGCTTATGTTTATGTCGCGGCTGTTTTCACTTGTGCTTATGCTTATGCTTTAGTGAAAACCAGTCTTATGTTCTCTTGCTACTAATAAATCAATAACAGTTCTTTCTGACTTAATACAACAGGTTTTGTTCAAAGGAAGGACTTACCGTCCCCTGTCACGTAATCGCAATATTCGCACTCTGTTTCAGTGTAAGCCAACAGATAACGAATGGGTTGGGCAAGCTTCGAAAAACAGCAAAAATAAGACTCATTATTATATGGCATATTCTTGTAGCCGATATACACTGTAACGCGCGTTCTGATTGGCTAATTGAAGGGCATTATTCTCCCGTAATGCACACGGGCCGATTGCGGGCTTGCATAAACAAAACAAAAAGCCATATAATAAACAACTTATTAACCTGGAACGTTCGGTCTTTACGGGAAAATCTCAAACCTCGATCTTGTCGTACGCTCGGTCAATACGGCAAGGTCTCGGTCTGAGATTTTCCCGTAAAGACCTAAATCTCAGCAGGGGTGGCTAATGGTCCTTCAAAAACTCTGGGTCTCGCAAAATTTTAGTCGAACTTCACGGGTCTCACAGTCTCATTTTGAAGCAGTTATGTGCGTCTCGCCGTCTCGATTTTTATGCGAAACTGTCTCGGAGTCTCAATTTTTTGCAAAGCTAAGGGTCTCCAAGTCCTGATTCGTTTGTTTACCTGTTTTTATTAATAACTTCTTTTCGTCACTTGATATTGAATTTCAATGAAGCAACTTACAAATTTCCGAGAAAAAGTTAATTCTAACTTCTCCTAAATTGTCTGAATGCCACAAAAAGCTACAAAACCTACCGAAACATCCGTTTTGGTGCCAGAAAAACAGTTATTTTGTCCTAGGATATCATAACGAAGTGTGTTATAATCGAATTTCCAGTTCCAGCCAGTTTGAAGAAGCTGGCTAGAAAGCTGTACAAGCTCATCATGTCTAGCTCTCAACTAAATCTAGGGCTTGAATTTTAAGAGTCTGAACGTCTCGCGCTCGCACTTAAAACTTTGAAGTCTTAGTCTCGCAATCTAAAAGTTAAAACGTCTCGTGCTAGAAAAGAAAAACGCTTGTCTCGCCGTCTCGTCTCGCATTTACCATTCGCCACCCCTAATAACCATACCCTATTCATGACCAAAATGGCCAAAATCGATACCCTCTTTATGATCAAAACGGATGAAAAACCATACCCCTTGTAGTCTCCTCCGCAGCCGTTTTTTGGGATGTCACGCAACGCTCCCCTTTCTTTGGGGGAGCGTTGCGTGACATCCCAAAAATAACGGCTGCGGAGGAGACTATACCCCTTGGGGCCGCACATACCCACATAGCCCAATAAAGGAGTACCCCACCCCGGGTTTGCGTTACATTGAATTTGGAATGTGCGTGTTTTTGAAACTAATTAGCAACATACGACATCTTCGAATACTCAGCGGCGGATAAGGGAGTAAGTCAAGCTTAAGAAATCTGGCTTGTGCTCCTTAATACAATCACGCTGCAGAAACCTATGGCAATGTTTTACTAAGTGGTTATTTGAAAAAAGGTTTGTTAAAGAGGTTCATTTACATTTTTCGAGACTGAAATTGGGCAAACCTGAATACAGAGAAAATTACATGAACTACATTGAGCTCATACTTTAGGACATGCGACCTCAATTTCAATTATTACAAATATCTAAAATTAACAAATTTCTGTCAACTAAATGTGTTTGTAAATCCACAGGGCAAATACAAATGAATTTTCTAGAAGCCTCTTACCCCTCGCACATTCCAGTAGCCCAAAATTGGAGCCATTAGAGATGAAAATCTTGTTCGTATGACACTGTTGCAATCCACCCGCACAAAGACACTTCTTTCAGCTGTCGTTCATTTCGTCATCACCGCAGGGCACAGGTCACGGTATTTGTTTTTTACGCTATTTGAAGAATTGCTCTCAAGCCTTTAGATGAAATTCTGTCACGTTTTTTTAAAGAAATTCTATCCTCATTTGAAGAAATTTCACTTAATTACCGCGCTGCCTTAGGCCGGGGAGTTCTATGACGTTATTTGAGAGGGGTTTTCCACGCAAAATAGGAAATTATTACCATTTTGTTAAGTATTTACGATAATCAATTTTTTAAAAAATAAATTACCTTATTATTCGTCTTATTAACCACAAACTGAGAAAACTAGACTGGACCTTATTCAGCAATGGACTCGAAGACAGCCAGTCTTAGAAAGACCCGGCAGGTGATCTCTCCACTACCGTTGGAATAGCTATAGGGGCTAAATCAAAGCGAGAGCCCAACTCTTATGTGTACCTTCTTTCCTTATCCACTTCCCAGGACAAATAGCAAAACGAGGATAAGATTCTTATAGCAAAAAGCTGCTCTTTATCAGCGTATCAAGACCGGCATAGCCCGCGAATACAGCCGCCTTTCATTCGCTCGAATGCGTGCCCGCTACGTACCCGCTACTCCCGCACGTAGTCCCGGGAGAGAATGAGAGGCGGCTGTATTCGCAGGCTAATCAGGACATAGAAACGAGTGGCCTTCCGGGCCGTACATGTTCAAGGTCCTATGTCTCCCTACGTCGTCTGTCAATAGCGCTAAAAAGCCTGGTTCTCATATGCACCGACATACCTGGGACAGGGCCTGGGACACCGTTACGGCATTTGTGAACATTTATCGCCGAATCATAATCTATCCTAGGCATTGACCGCCGGCTTGCCTAGCTGAGTTTAACTTCGCAGGCAAGCCAGCGGTTGTCGGCGATAAAAATATTTTATGTGAACATCATCTGGACCATCTGCGGACTCAGTGTATGACCTAACAACTCGATTTTTCCCACAATTCCTTACTTTACAGATGGAATGGTTGAAAATTGCCCCAATTCGATTTGCATTTCGCGCCAGTTTGGGTACGTCGGCCCGGGACGTCGGCGATCTATCGCATAATTATTAGAATACGCATCTTCATAATACAATATTGTCACATAATTCTACCTTATTTCATATTATTTTTATAATTCCTTGGTACGTTGATTTATTTCATTTTAATTTTAATGTAAATTATTTAGTAGTATTAGTACTGAAAAGCCCCCTTGGGGAGTGCTAATAAAATTTGTATTGTATTGTATGCACTGGAGACCCACTAGAACTGGTCGCCGAACGTTGTCACTACTTGCAACCGGCGACTGCGTCGCAGGTAGGTCGGCGGCATATGAGAATGTAGACTGCGAGTAGTCCCTTTTTCGCTTCGTCCGTCGTGCGTGTAGCGAAGAAAAACTGCCAGAAAAAAATAGCCGCGCAAAATCCTGGGGGCGAGGAGCCAGGGTTTCGCGTGGCCATTTTTTTCTCGCGGTTTTCTCTCGCGTCATGCACGACGGACTAATCTACTCGTAGTCTAATGAGAACGAGGCTAAAGGCGCGAAACTCGGGTGGCGGCGCGCGTCGCACGCGAACTCACGCTGCTGGCAATGTATTGTGGTATTGAGCTATCTAAACGTTTACTTCGACCGCGAAAAATTAAAAATGTCTTTGAAAAACAGGTTAGTTTCTATTCTGAAACATCCTTTGTTGGAAATTTTCCGGTATTCTACCCAATACTACCATTTCGTTTGTACATTAAGATAATTTTCTGATGTTTCTTTTCGACTTAGGAGATTTAAACGAGATCTCGAAGTACCCACGTGCAAGTACGACATGACCCATGGCTTCCGTGAGTTTACAACCATATCATGATAAAGGAAGATACTATTGACTGAAAAGCAACTGGAAATGCAGATCCGAGGTGTGTATATAGTCTGTTTATTGTCTTAAAAGCATCATGACCGACCGTCTTTGAACTAGTGTGGTACAATTGCTCTGCGAACAATTTGCTGAGTGCAGACCGCAGATCACAAACCTTCAACCAAACATGGCAAGAATTCAATTGATGTCCAGTAATTTTTAAAAAAATAATCTTGAAATTTTTTATGAATTACAAGATAAAGGTAGTAAACAAATCCGAAAGATACTGCTGTGCCTATGCGAAATCACCCCCACCCCCTCAAAAGTCAAATGGTCTCCCCCTAAAATGGAGAATGGATATTTCTGTATGTTGACCCATGTAATACTAATTAATATGTTATTTACATTATATTTTGTAAATATTTAGTTAAAGTTTGTTGGAATTTTTTTTTTTGGGTTACCGTCTATTGTTAGTGATATTGGTGTTTTTTAGTGTTGTAAGTATTGTAGTATTGTAGTATTATTAGTACTAATTAGTTGTATTATATTATTAGTATTAGTAATATTAGTTGTTATTATAATTATGTAGGTAAGTAACTAATTTGCTGTATTAATATCAATTTGTTTCAATAACGAAACAAAAAAAAAAACAAAAAAAGGGTTTCTGTTGAGGAACTATTGACTGACAGTTGCCCCACAGAAATTTGATGTTCTTAAAACAAATATGCTAGTTTTAGGAACATCAAATTTCCAAGGGGCAACTATCAGACTGATAGTTCCGAGACATTAACACTCTATTGTCTTTATTGTTCTCCACTAAATTTTCTTCCGCATGCCAGTTCAAAAATCATATTGAATTATTTTCAACTTTTTTAGATGAAAGCCGTGAAAGCCAAATGTAAATTTAAAAAGGAAAATAAACAAAACCCACTTAGTACAATTTCATTTGTTTATTTTTTCTATAAGCTCGCTTGTTTACAGAAAATTTTTCACTTACGAGTACTATCCATCCAGGAATTTTCCTTGGACGGGCACCATGGGCTAATAGTGTCTCTCCGTGGATGAACACTATCGTGTCACATGATCAATTCAAACCAATAAGAGTCGCAGAAAATTTAGTGGTGAACTATAATGGCTGATAGTGTTCAATGGCACAGCCAATCAGATTACAGCATTTGCATAAGTATACTAGTAGAATTCTTCTAAATTTATTTAGTAGAATTCTACTAGTATACTAATACAAATGCTGCAACCTGATTGGCTCAGCTACTCATATACTATCATCCATTAGAGTGCAGTAGCTGTTGCTCTTCCAGGAAATGTGATGTTTTTATTGCTTTTCTGAAGTTTTGGAAGAAAGTTTTAGATGTGAACGGATAATTAAATTCCTGAGAAGACTAAAAGAAGGACATAAACGGATTCATGACTTTAAAAACTTGAAATTATTGAAAAACCGGTGCGCGTGCGTAAACAACCGCAAATTTACCAAGGACAATTCAATACCTGTGAATTTTGTTCAAGGATAGTCTGGGAACTTCTGTCAAAGCCATCTTGGGTAGACTTCTGTTTCTTAGTAATACATCCCCTTTGGCACCAAAGACAAAGCGCGATGAACTTCAACAACTTGAGCCAGGATGAGAA